AATTTATTCAATATTTATCTAATTTGAATCACTAAAGGTATGGGGATGTGCAGCGCTACCTAATGCCTGTGTATTTTGGTTATAGTTTCAGACACTGGTTTGGTAACATTCAAACCTACAATGAAAAAGTGAAAGCTATGAATTGCCTTAAAAAAGTTTTTGATAGGGCCCTTTGACACTTGTTTGTTTAATCTACAGTATTTAGGTTGACAACATATCTGGGAAAGCAGCCCTGCTGTCTCTGTACTTCAGGCTAGCTTGGTCAATTAATGGTTCATTCATTACCAGTGGCACGCACACTGGAATAGAGCCGGGAATCGCTGACGCAGGCGTTTCTAAAGCGGTAATCATGAGAGTCTTCAGAGCAGAGCATAAACATTTCCGGAATTTATTGCAATGTTCTTTCTTTCTTTTTTTTTTTTGTGCTCCTGAAAACAGGCAACATTTACCATCTGTTTTACCAATGAATATAAATAAATATTGCTATGACTACTACATACAATATTACACAATCATGTGTCCATTTAATAATCATACTTTCTAGCTACAATCGTTTATAATACACTCAAGTGGTAGAAATGTTACTTTAGACATATAGGATACAAAGAAACCACATACTCACATTTTCTCCTCTGAAAACCAGAAACCCTGGCAGGAGAAAAGTTGTTTAAAAAAAAAAAAAAGCACACACCTAAAGCCACGTACTACGCATGCGTTTAGGTGTGTCAAGTGCTTCAGCGTCAAAGGATTGAGAATATTCACTTATTCTAGCCACTGGAATGCATTAACCCTCAAAACGCACCTAAACGTATCTAGTGTTTTAGGTGCATTCAGCGTTTTCCCTGCTCTTCAGCTCTTTTCATGAAAGCACTTTTCTCATGTTTTTTTTTCAGCCTGTAAGATTAAGTTCACACTGATGGGTATAAATTGGTGCAATTTCTGTGCGATTTGCTTTTTGACCAGTGCAAATTTAATGCAGTTTCTGGGGGACTGAGCACAGCTGGAGATAAATATTTGCACCACACCCGCACTTAACTCACACAGGGCCCTTTTTTACCCAGGACAAAATCACACTGCATAGATGTTAACAGCTTTCATAGAAAACAATGTATTCAGATGACATGAATCTATGGTTTTAGGATCGCATCAGTGTGAACCGGGACTAAATGCTCCTCTTCTAATAGGCCTATAAACACCTACGTGTACTGTAAACACCTATGTGTAGATTTACTAAAACTGGAGAGTGCAAAATCTGGTGCAGCTCAGCTTCCAGTTTTTTTTGGCAACGATTAATTGAATAAAGCTGCAGATTTTTTATTTTTTTTTACTGATTGGCTACTATGCACAGCTGCACCAGAATTTGCACTCTCTAGTTTTAGTAAATCTAAATTTAGTAGACTAACATAAATGTGCTCTTAAAGGTTAAAAAAAAAAAAAAAAAAAAAAGTGTTTTTACGCCTGTAAAAGTGTTCGTTTTTTTTTAAGCTCAATGCGTACGAGGCCTTATGGTTCTCATCTTTTTGCTCTGTATAACATACAGCAATTCTTTTCTGAGCCACTGCAAGTTACTTTACATTTTTTTCCATCAATATCAGCAAGCAAGAGCAGTGGAAGGAGCCCTAGGTGTGGTTATTGAGTTGGTGTGAGTAAAAATGTCAGCACTGACCACTAACAGCAGTACAGTAAGTATAGCACACTGCAGGCAAAAATTATACATTTCAGCATACCAGGGAAAAACATTTCTGAGTTGCTTCAGAGATGAGCCCTTTCTATATAAAAATCAATATACCAGCAACTATTCTAAAGTGCTCCTTAAACCTCATCCAGGTTATGAGCTAGCAGGACCAAGAGCCACTATAATGGGGGAAGGGCAGCATAATAAAGCAGAACTCCAGCCAAAAAAAGTATTATTATTATTATACAGGATTTATATAGTGCCAACAGTTTGATCAGCGCTTTACAATAAACTTAAATTAGGTCCAAAGGCCGAACGTTTTTTTACCTGAATGCAGTAAAAAAAAAAAACCTTCGGGGTGCAGCTTCCTCCAACCCCCCTCCCCCATACTTACCTGAGCCCCATCTTGATCCAGCAATGTGAATGAGAGTCACAGCTCTCCTCAGTCTGTCTCTGCTCATTGGCTCACTCAGCAGTGGAAGACATTGGTCCATGCCGCTGTCAATCACCGCCAGTGAGCCAATGAGAAGAGAGCAGGGGGCAGGGCTGAACCACGCTGTGTGTGTAAATGAACTATTCACAGGAGCATGGCTCATGAGCGAGCCTGCTCTAGTGCTCCCATTGCAAGAGGCTCCCTTTTGGGGGGCACTCGACTAGGAGGGAAGAACCTCAACCGCTGGTGGGGGATCAAAAAGAAGAGGATCAGGGCTGCTCTGTGCAAAACCATTTCACAGGGCAGGTAAGTATAACAGGTTTGTTATTTTTTATAAAGATAATACAACTTTTAGAACCACTGTATTAGCACATTCAAAGATAAAATAAAAAGCAGCTTTAGTTAAAATATCCACCTTCTATTCTAACTAGAGTTCTCCCCCACACTACATCTTCTCCACCAATATATGTCCTCAGTCTGATGGGCAGCATCAATCAACCCACTTATTAGCCCAAGATGTCTGGGACCCACCCCAACCTGTGACTGTACATTGAAAGGAGAAGCAGCAAAATGATAATCTCATCTCTCTTCCTCTCTTATTATCAACATGCTCCTTACCAGCACATGAACTGAAGGCCGATACCAGGTCAAATCCAGGTACTTACACTTCTTGTATTTTGAAAAGTTAAATAAATTATGTGTTAATGATTAGAGAGCTGCATTCATTTGGGTCTTTTATGTGTGCCTAGAGTTCAGCTTTAAAGTGGTTATAAAATCAAAACATTTCTTACCTTAATTTGCTGCATTAAGGTAAAAAGAAGCCCACTACTTTTTCTCCCCCCACCCCCTACTGGGGGACTGCCAAAGAAAAGGTAAGGGAATGCTCTGTGCAATATCATTATACACAGCAGGTAAGTATAACATCTTTTTTTATTGAATAAGGGCAGATAATTCATGCAGCATTTACTTCCTGGAATCCATATGCCCTTGACATCATTTGCCTAGGCATTGAAACCAGGAAGTAACTAAATAAATGTTTAAAACAAGTAAATATGAGATATTTTCCTATTTACTAATGCTAGCAGCATAAGGATTCAAAATAATGAAGATTGAGAGCATGAAACTCCACTTTAATCCCTGTGTGCCACTACCCCAAAAATATTACAATACCACTGTCCAGGTTGAAAAAAGTGTGTACTTGTCCCATAGTTCTGACCTGTAGAACTCAATTTGAACCCAAGTAGACCAGTAGCTTGAAATGACACACTTAGGCAGTATGTTGACATCCATGGCTTGGAGATGTTTTGCTTTGTCCTGTGCAATGCAGCTCATCCTTGGAAACACCAATGGGTATCCTGAAGTAGTGCTGGAATGTTGGGGTAAATAGGCCCCACACAGTCAGCTGCTAAGGAAGATTGATCATGTTTGTAAAACCAAGAATCTGTACTTGGACAGCTAAAGTCAACAGAAAAACAAAGTATTCTGTTCAATAAATACTAAACCGATCACATACAGCCCAAGACTGAAGTTACATTTCAAGGAACACCAGCGGCAGAATCTCTGCTCCTGGATTCCTAGAACAGGCTGCATATGGTGATTGCCACATGGAAGCCATCCCCATGGTTCATTTCATTTTACATAAATGATATAGAGAAGGAGACTCCCAGCAATGTTACGGAGCCAGAGACAACCAAAATGAATAGTTCTTGTTAGAGTAAACTTGTAATTTACTGTTTAAAATACTTTAAATGGTACCACATCTGATACGTGATCTGTTATCAAATACTACTTTTCCTTTTAGGAAATGAATAATGTAATATTCATCTAAATGTCTAAATTAAATTGGTTTGAAACTTTCAGATTTTTTGAATGAATGCATGCCAAGCAGCCAGTTAAATCTGTATTAAACCTAAAAGCAAATATTATATTGAAGCTCAGCAAATTTTAGCTGTGATGACTGCATTAGTTTTCTTTTTAGTCTTTCACCTGGTGATCAGTAAGTCTGTTCTCTCTAGCACATGTATCAGGAATGAGACAAACCTTTTACCACTGACAGGGGTTCTTACAATGATCAGCTTTTATGTAAAACCTAATAACCTAATAAAAATGATTTGATGTAACTGCTAATATTAGTATTAGCTGGAGTTCTGCTTCAATTTGTTAGTGTATCTGAACCTGCTAGTGTATCTAACACGCCCCTTCCCCCAGGCAGACAATGCTGCTGTCCAAAGGTGCCTCTGTGCTCCTTCATTCAGAGAGGGGGCTTTCTAACACAGGAGGTGGGTTACTGGCCAGGTCACTAGGTGAAAACCAGGGAAAAGGCCTAAAAAACCCTGAAAAATATGCAGCCACCACATCTAATGACTGTAAGCTGCAATATATTTCAGTTTTGGTTTTGGGTTTATTACTGCTTTAAGCATTCCTCACTGCTTAACCGCCTCCCGCCCGCCGTATAGTAATATGACAGACGCAAGGTGGTTCTCTCGTTCTGGGAGGATGTCATATGACGTCCTCCCATTCTAACCACGCATGCGTGGCTCCCGAAGCGCACAGAGCGGTGATCGGCGGTGCGCTGTGTCCCTCGGACACAGCGGATCACCGATCCACGGAAAGAGCCGAAGATATCGGCTCGGTCATGTGATCAGCTATGTCCAATCACAGCTGATCACATGTAAACATGGAAATGCCGGTTATCGGCATTTCTCTCCCCACAAGCTGTCACGCTGACCGCTCGTGAGGAGAGGAGAGCCGGTAATCGGCATCCCTCAGAGGGGACATGTGCACTGATCATCTGGGCACTGATGATCAGTGTGCCCTGATGATCTGAGTAGCCCCAGCAGTGCCACCTGTCAGTGTCCATCAGTGCCAGCTCTCAGTGCTCATCCATGCCACCTGCCAGTGCCCATCAGTGCCACATTTCAGTGCCCATCAGTGCCACATATCAGTGCCCATCTGAGCTGCCAGTCAGTACCACCTATCAATGCTGCCAATCAGTGCCACCTATCAGTGTGCGTCAGTGCCGCATATCAGTGCCCGTCAGTGCCAGCTAACAGTGCCAGTCAGTGCCGCCTATCAGTGCCATATATGAGTGCTGCCTTTCAGTGCCAGTCAGTGATGCCTGTCAATGCCCATCAGTGCTCCCTACCAGTGCCTCATCAGTGCCACCTATCAGTGCCAGTCAGTGCCACCTATCAGTGCCACATGAGTGCTGCCTGTCAATGCCCATCAGTGCCCCCTACCAGTGCCCCATCAGTGCAGCCTATCAGTGCCCATCAGTGCAGCCTGATTAGCGCACATCAGTGAAAGAGAAAAATCACTTCTTTACAAAATTTTATAACAAAAACTAAGAAAAAACGTTTGTTTGTTTTTCAAAATTTTCTGTGGTTTTTGGTTTGTTTAGGAAAAAATAAAAAACCCAGAGGTGATTAAATACCACCAAAATAAAGCTCTATCTGTCACAAAAAAATGATAAAAATTTCATATGAGTACAGTGTTGCATGACCGCGCAATTGTCATTCAAAGTGCAACAGTGCTGAAAGCTGGAAATTGGCCTGGGCAGGAAGGGGGTGACAGTGCCCTGTAGGCAAGTGGTTAAAGAGGAACTTCACCTCTCAGTCAAAACTGACTATTTGTAATCCTGATGCTGCTAGCATTGGTAGATAGATAGGAAAGTATATCGGATTTACTTAGTTTAAACATTTGTTTTACATTTCTTCAGTTGCTTCCTGGTTTCTATGCCTAAACAAATGTCATACATCGCAGGAGTCTTCAGGAGGGGTTTTCTCAGCTAAGCACGCCCCTGACTGCTGAGCCTGAGCTAAGGGCAGATGGATTCCAGGAATTAAACGCTACATGAATCATCTGCCCATAATCAGGATGGCCATGGCCATGGGAAACGCTAGGGGGTGTTTTTCAACATGATTTCTCAGCAAAATAAAACATGGGAACATGGATGGATGGATGGATGAGTTTTCTTTGAACATTAAAGTGTTACTAATACCGCAACAGTAAAATCAGTCTGTATTTGCAGTAAAGCATGCTTGTTATACTTACTGTGGAACCTAAGGGGTTAATCCTCCACAGTGTAAAAGGGCTGTTTAATCCGATCTTCTCTGATCCCCCCCTTCTTTTACTGTCCCCAATACATCTGCCACAGTATAGAGTAGCAGTGGCAAGGCTGAACATGCTCAGTTTGGTGTGTTTCGCTTGAGAGGTTTTTTTTTTTTTTTAGAAAGTGCATGTGATTGGCACAGGGCTAGTCAGCCATTTCCAAACAGAGGGCCAGGGGTCATGCAGCCTCACAGGACAGTCAGAGAAGAATAAAAACTCCTCCTACAAGATTAAATCAGAGCTTGGCCAGACACTGATTTAGCGGTTCTAAAGGCTCAAGGTTTTTTACCTTCATGCATTCTATGCATAAAGGTAAAAAACATTCTGTGTGCAGCATCCAACCCAGCACCCCCCTAAATACCCTAAGTCCCCTCTTGATCCAGTGATGTGCACTGGAGTCTTGGCTATCCCAGGACTCCCTCTTCTCATTGGCTGAGACAGAAGCCATTGGCTTCCACTGCTGTCAATCACAGCCAGTGAGCCAATAAGAGAGGGGGTGGGGCCGAGCTGCAGCTCCATGTGTGAATAGAAACACAGAGCATGGGTGCCCCCATAGCAAGCTGCTTGCTGTGGGGGCTTTCAACAGGAGGGAGGGGACAGGAGAGCTTGCGGGGGACCCAAGAAGAGGAGGATCCAGGTTTCTCTGTGCAAAACCACTGCAGAGAGCAGGTAAGTGTAGAAATGTTTGTAATTTTTTATTTAAAAAAAAATAAAGTCGCAAGACTGCTATATACTGCTGATGATAAAATGTATTTAGCAGTATATATTTACTAAAATAACTGTATTTCCATGTTCTGTGTACTGTGGGAGACCAGATAGTGAATGCAGGGCCCTGGGTTTAGTAACACTTTAAAATGAATTAAACAGCATTTTTGGCTTGTGGTGCTCCAGTGTTCCACTTTAACATGCAGGATATGTGGGCATGAACATTTACAGTGGTTCCTATCATCACGATTGACTCCAGGTCCCTCAGCACAGCTTCCCCAAATTTCCTGTAGGGGAAAGATCTCACTTAGGTTGTTAGCATCTGTCCATCAAATCGCTTGGAGAAGGAAGAGAGGGAAGCAGGGGAGTTGCTTGCTGTGGATTTGTACTGATGCACACAGCATACAGTATAGCACATAGCGTCTATTTAGCTCTAGGATTGCACATGCAATCCTCATAGGACCCTGCAAAGGACAGGAGCCATCCTATAACTGGAAAGAAGTACAATCGCTAAAGGGACCGGTTGCATCAGGAGGAAAGAATTTTTGACCATCAAAAAGGCAGTATGCATGGAAAGTCTTTGCCTTAACAGGTTATATTTATTAAAAAAAGTAAGGCTTTAATAACCCTTTAAGAAAGGTACAACACCTGGATGTATTGATCACGAGATGAAATCACTTAACAACATGCAAGACTTCAAAAGAAGACGTGAGAGGAATATGTGAAGAAGTCTCCGTGTCATCCTCTCGCACACAGGCACAGTAGTGAATATTTGGCAGAATAAAGGGAGGGCTGGTGACTGCAGGGTTTGGCTGTGCTCCCTGATGGAACATATTGAACAGTTCCAGCTTCCATGTTGTGCGAGTCAGCCTGAGCACAATATTTCAGATAACACAGCAATGACAGACACAAAGCAAAATATGTTAACCAGGCACTTACCTCACAGTTTTTTGCTCCCTGCTGTTTCCTCCCTGAGCTTGCAAAGCCAACATTCTGCGGAGACAAGTAAAGACAGTTGTGTGTTATTGTGAGCATCTGCCGTCAGCTTCACCCTGCTAAGACAAGAACGGTCTGAGTGTTCAGCAGTGGAGGACGACAACAATGAGCGCAGCTGAGCCGCCTTACAACTTCCGTTTCAGAGTTAAAGGTGCAGTTTTGCAGCTACAGCAACTTTTCATGACCTGGCAGAGAACACATGATAGCTTGTAATAGTTCAAAGTGAACATATTACACATCCACAAACTTCTAATGTGCTTTCAAATGCCAGGTCATGGTATACACGTCATACTTCATTATACACATGAGCAAACAACAACCTGCTTATAGCATACTGTGTGGACAAGTGATAATTAGTAAGGGATCTGTAACCGTGGATTTACACAACTGTAAAACTGCAACCACCTCTGAGTTGTTAAAAAATACCCCACCCAAAAAAAAAAAATATATATATCTATATATTCACACACACACACATACAGTTGTGTTCAAAGTAATAGCAGTCAGACATCACTAACCTGATCAATCACTGTTTTTGGTAGAAGTGATATTTCTACATGGCAAATAATTTACTAGCAGGGTGTAGTAGAGTAATAGAAATCCAACAGACCCAACAGTCATGACATGCATGCTGCTGATTCTGTGTAATTGAATCACTAATTGAAAGGGGCATGTTCAAAATAATAGCAGTGTGGAGTTCTATTAGTGAGGTCATTCATTCTTTGAAAAACAGGTGGCAATTATTGCCCTTATTTAAGGAAGGAAGGCAGCAAATGTTGTACATGCTGGTTAAGGTGCATTTCTCTCTGAAATTCTGAGGAAAATGGGTGGTTTCAGACATTGTTCAGAAGAACAGTGTACCTTGATTAAAAAGTTGATTGGAGAGGGGAAAACATATAAAGAAGTGCAGAAAATGATAGGCTGCTCAGCTAAAACGATCGCAAATGCTTTAAAATGGCAACCAAAACCTGAAAGACGTGGAAGAAAGCGAAAAAACTACCATTCGAATGGATAGAAGTATAGCCAAAATGGCAAGGACTCAGCCAACAATCAGCTCCAGGAAGATCAAAGAAGGTCTAAAGTTACCTGTGAGTACTGTTACAATTAGAAGACACCTATGTGAAGCCAAGCTATCTGCAAGAAGCCCCCGCAAAGTCCCACTGTTGATAAAAAGACATGTGCTGAAGAGGTTACAATTTGCCAAAGAGCACATTGACTGGCCTAAAGAGAAATAGCGCAACATTTTGTGGACTGATGAAAGTAAGATTGTTCTTTTTGGGTCTAGTGGCCAGAGACAGTTTGTCAGACGACCCCAAACACTGAATTCAAGCCACAGTACACTGTGAAGACAGTGAAGCATGGTGCGCAAGCATCATGATATGGGGATGTTTCTCATACTACGGTGTTGGACCTATTTATCGCATACCAGGGATCATGGATCAGTTTGAATACATCAGAATACTTGAAGAGGTCATGCTGCCTTATGCTGAAGAGGAAATGCCCTTGAAATGGGTGTTCCAACAAGACAACGACCCCAAACACACCAGTAAACGTGCAACATCTTGGTTCCAGACCAACAAGATGGACGTTATGGAGTGGCCATCCCAATCCCCGGATCTTCATCCAATAGAAAACTTGTGGGGTGACATCAAAAATGCAGTTTCTGAGGCAAAACCAAGAAATAGAGAAGAACTGTGGAATGTAGTCCAATCATCCTGGGCTGTAATACCTGTTCACAGGTGCCAGAAGTTGGTTGACTCCATGCAACACAGATGTACAGCAGTTCTCAGAAACAGTGCGATACAACTAAATATTAATTGATTCAAAAGAAAGCAAAATCTTCAAACATTTTTCAGTTTATATAGTGAATGTTAGTGTTTGTATTCTTCTTTACAAACTCAGCTATTTTTTTTAAACAGTCTAATATTCACTTTTCTTAATTTTTTTTTTTTTAGAGGAACAACACAAATTTGATAAATTTTTCTTCATGTTTTGATTTGGAATAGAATGTGTAGTGTTCCCAATGCATTTGTGTGTATGGAAATAAAAGCTATTAGAAGGACTTTGAGCTTTATTCACTTTTTTCAACACACTGCTATTATTTTGAACACAACTGTTGTATTATTATTATTATACAGGATTTATATAGCGCCAACGGTTTGCTCAGCACTTTATATTATAGTGGGAGACAATACAGTAACAATACAGTTCAATACAAGAGGGATTTGAGGGCCCTGCTCCTTGGAGCTTACAATCTAGGAGGGAGGGGCACTGCTGGGCACCGATCATCAGGGCACTGATGATCAGTGCCCTGATGATCGGTGCCCAGCAGTGCCACCCACCAGTTCTGCCCACCTGTGCCCAGCAGTGCCGCCCACCTGTGCCCAGCGGTGCAGTGCCCAGCGGTGCCCACCAGTGCACCCACCTGTGCCCAGCAGAGCCACCTACCTGTGCCCACCCACCTGTGTCCCCACCCAGTGCCCATCAATGC